AGGGGGGGGGGCGTCAGGCTGTCGAAAAATCCGCGCGGAGAGACAAACCTTAAGCTGAAACCAAGACAAGCTATACTAACCAAGACAATCCATAAAACACGCCGGCAGGCCGGCGGATTTCCCCACCTGTAAGGTGAGGGTTGTTAGATTGTATGTCAGCTGCCTTGCTCCTCCTCCTCGTCCTCGTCCTCCTGGTCCTCCGCCTCCTCAACCGCAAATGTCGGATGGCAGTGTTCCCCGCCGGACCTCCACCGCGATGGCCACGTGGCAGTGCTCCCATGCGAGATAGAATGTCAGAGGATATGCCAGAAAGCATGTGAGAAGAGATGCCAGGAATGTCAGAAGATATGCCGGAAATAGTGTCAGAAAGCATGTCAGATGAATGAATGTCAGAAGACATGCCCGCAAGATTGCCAGAAGATATGCAAGAAAGCATGTCAGGCAGAATGTCAGAAGATATGTAAGAAAGACCGCCGAAATAGTGTTTCAATACTTGCCAGAAAATTTGTCAGATTGAAATGTCATGGTTGGGGTTACTCGAAGTAAAAGTTTGTTTCCTCCCCGAACTCCTTTCACCAAGTTGGAGCCAGGCAAATCCAACACACATTTGTGTTTGAGGAGAGTGCCATTTTGCGCATCATCCTGCAGGCGGCCAGCGAAACATCATAACCATCTCACAATTTGGAATATTGAGCCACTAATCCTATCTGCATATGGCCCTATTGATCACAATCGCTTGAGGTGATCTTGATTGATCATTCAAGTCCCATGTCCAAGGTCCAAACCTCCGGCATCGCACTCAGTGTGGAGGAAACCCCGCTGCGGATGGCAAAGTTTAGGCCTAGGTCCGTGTCCAAATGGTAAATTTTGATCAATTCCTAGGTGTATCCTTTGCACGCGCGCAGGCCCTCAGGGATAATGGACAGCACGCCACGACAAACACGACAGCCGACAACAACCAATGACAAACGTATTATATAACAATGAAAACACCAAATGCAACCACAACACACCGTGCCCCAGGGATGCCTCGCCAGTCACCCCGACCCAGTCATCCTACCACTGTACTTTTGGCGGGTGGGGATAGAACAAAATAGATACAATTTTTTGTGTCTTTGGTTTGGTGAGATATTTTTAACGAATCGTTCTGGGTGATTTTTCCCCCAAACAGTGTGGACACACTTAGGGGTTCTTACGGTAGGTGTTAAGCAGCTGTGCTTAGATGGCTGTGCCGCGCGGCCGTGTCCGGCTAATTCGCTGCTATTTACAGTACTTTCATGTCTTTCAAAATCCTCGATGTGCATTTCGACTCCGCAGGCTCGCGGAATCTGGGTGGCGGCGGCGACTGCGCTCTCGCTGCGGCGCCGTGCAGCACTTTGTGAACCTCGAAGCGCAGATTTTGTGGCAGGCACAGCACTTTGTGAACCTCGAAGTTCTGATTTCGTGACAGGCGCCGCACTTTGTGAACCTCGATGCGCAGATTCTGTGGCAGGCTCAGCATTTTGTGAACTTCGAAGTGCTGATTTCGGAGCTGGCGCAGCACTTTGTGACCTCGAAGTGCTTTTTTCGTGGCAAGCGCAGCACTTTGTCAACCTCGATGTGCAGATTTCGTGGCAGGCACAGCACTTTGTGAGACTCGAAGTGCAGATTTCGTGGCAGGCGCAGCACTTTGTGCTCTCTGAACCTCACCTCTCGCTCTCGCTCACACATACTCACACACACACACTCACTCACCTCGCTGTCTCACTCTCTCACACACACACACTCACCTCACTCTCACTCATACTCACTCTACTCCACTCACACTCACCACCACCGCCACCATCACCACGACCTCCACCTTCAACACCACCATCACCTCTCTGGCCCCCAGTGCATCTAGATCTCCAGACTTTTTGCGGCTACACCTCTAGGCCCCACACGCACTGTTTGGGGTCTCTTGCCGGGATAACTGACCTGTTTTGCCAAGTTCCGCTGCAGCAATTCCCAGGAACCATGCCACGTGGGTGATGCCGACCGTGGACCGTGATGAGTACTTCCGGGTCACCGGACCGAACGAACTTTTCGGCACCCCTTCAGTGCCGAAGAATTATTTCCACACCGTGTGGGATGCCATTGTTCGCCATGAAGGCTGGAGGGTGGTCTGGTTCCTGGTAGAAAACAAGGAGAACCCCGCCGCAGCTGGTGTTTTGGGAGGTCTCGCTAGGGGCGCACACAGCGCCATTGTGAGATTTCGGATCATGAATATAGACCTTATCTTGATTTGGGGTTCGATATGGTTTGATAGGTTGAAACTTACGGATAGGTTGAAGCTTGCGCCGTGTTATTTGGTTGCAACATGCGGGAATTTGGCTTATAGACCTGGGTGTCTCAAATGATATAGGGAGGAACTCCAATTACCATAGAATTCGTGTGGGGAAAGTAGATTCATTTTCCCATCACATCCCATCAGAAGATACATGAAAATCAAACGATTCCAAATCTACATAAAATAGGTGTGTCATGGGGTCTCGGTCTGAGAGGGTTGGTGTGAATAGATTCCATCAACCATGTAGGGGAGCCACAATGTGCCACATGCCCAGTGCGGGAGGCAAACGAGAGGAGGACGTGAAGAGCATCACCTTTGACCTGTACCGCTTCGAGCTGCCCTCGCGGGACGAGCTGACCATTAGTTCGACTATGCGACAAGCAGAGACACAGGCGGCACCCTTCAGCAGGGGCGAGGGCAAGAAAGGCTGGCCCAAATTTGTGACTTGGTTGAGTTAGTCCGTGCTGTTGGGCTGGAGTCATTTTTGTTCTTGGTTGGTTGGGTGTGATGAGATTCCCGGGATGGAGTGGAACTGAAATGAACTCCAGGCGCGACCGCGCTGCGCACAGGTCTACAATGTCAAGAACGCGAACTCCGTGTACGTCCATTGGGTCCACAGTTCGGTGCATGGCACGGAGGATCTTCATATTTCGCCCAGCTTGGGAGTCGCCAACCACTACCGTTCACCCTTTGACTTTGATGAGCACGAGTTCCCAGCAAATGTTTCGGATACCACGTTGCAGACAGATGTCGTGGCCTTGGAAGAGGCCCTTTTGTTTGTCGTGTCGAGATTTAACTTGGCCCACATACTGTGTTAAAAGACGGTGCTGACTCAGGCCGAAAATCAGGTCTCCAGTTAGGTGGATCCAGGTTTCTCAGAGTCATGCCATGTCCCATGCAGGCTTTGGCCGCACGCTTCCAACGCAACCCGCGCGAGTTTTTGAAGTACCTCAGCCACAAGCACCCTGCGCCTGATGTACCCGAATCCAACTGGTTCGCTGCCACAGATCGGCTTCCAACATCCTGGAAGGCTGCGCTGCCCGAGTATATTCCAGTTGACTGGTTTGGCGGCGCTGCCGGGCACAACCTCCTTGCTGAGAATGGCATTTTTGACCAGCTTAAGCGAGATGACCTGCAAATGTTTGGGTAAGACTTTTCGCAGCTTCACTGTTTCACTCAGCAGTTTCACGAAAAAAATGATCGGAAAAAGAACATTGGCCGGTGGTGACTGAGGCAGGCAGTAGCAGTAGCATCGAAAACTGGAAAGACACATTGAAGTCAATCACAACATATCACAACCCCCTATGGATCCACATACCTTCTGAGAAGGTGATTGGAATATTAACCCCAGAGGGGCCATTGCATCCATATAACACAGATGATTATAGAGACAATGGGGAAAATAACTTAACGACAATGCTGTATATGATGGACGGCTGACACCTTGGTACCGCAGCCACGATTCACATGTGCATGTCAATGAGATTAGACATGATTAGACCAACATAGTTGATCCCAAAGTGTCCACATTGATCCAAATATGAAGTTGGTGATCGTTGGTGAGCTCTTCAAAACAGTCAAGCTCTTGTCTAGCTATCCTAACAATCATCACCCTGTGGCCCAATGAATCGGGCCTGGTGGGTTCGAGGATACGTCCGTGTCATGTTTCCTCTTGGGACATTTCTTGAAACAAGTGTTGTCTTTTGGCATCTTTTGGCATATTTCGTCTTAGGCGTGATCACAGCCACACTTGTTTTGGAAACCTCGACAAGTCTAGTTTGGCATATAGCCGAGAGGCAATATCTTTCCTATTTCAAAGTCTATTAAGCACATAGGGCGGTGCCACTGCACGAACATCAGGACCATGGCGCAGTCAGAACCCTTTCCTTCATGCACAGCAGCTCTTTGCAAGAGACCGGGAGGTGCAATACAAACTTCTATATGATTGCATTGTGTTTGCAGCCTTCAGCCGCGGGTGGATCTAGGATTTGGATGCTGCTTGCAGCCATTTTGGCAGGAGCCAGCTCATTTGGATTCATTTGGTGTGATTTTCTTTGCAGCTCGGGAGGTTTGATAAGCTCGCTTTCAAACACTTACACAGCCTTCAATGAACACCCTACGAATGCCGAACTGAGCTTCGTGCAGACGAAAAAGAGAGTCATTGAAGTGGGTGGCCTTGCATCACATACATCACTTTGTGAGGCTGATGCACATATTTCGCGACAAAGAGTGGATGGTCTTTTTCTGTGCCAAACCAATTGCCTGCGTCTTGCCAAACACCGCTGCAACCACAAACACCGGAACTGATGAGCTATGGGGGAAGCAGCTTCCAGGTGGGAACCGCCGGAACCGCCACGAACTGCATCTAGTCCCCACCCGAGTTGTGGGAACATGTTGCAAGAAAATACCCCAGCTGTGGTGTGCTGCTAAAAGTTTTGGAGATTTGTAATGCCCATGCTTGCAAATACTGGATGCTTTTTTTCGGAACATTGATGACAAGGAGGTTGTTGTTTTCCCTGTTTTGCTTGAGGGTTGCATTCGCGGAACATGCTTTGGTCGGTCGGATCCTATGGGATGCTGGACCAGTATAATACTCAATATAATGCTTTGTGTCGATCCGGTAGGATTCAATCAGATCCACTGCAATCGTTCAAAGCACCAGATCGGAAGAATTGCCCTTTAAATCCCCTAATGGCCGACTCGCCCCCTTTTTCGCGCAGCCACGCGACATTCTTCGATCATCCCTGATGATATTAAGCTTACAGAATACAGGGGGTTAACCCTCCTACAGAATGCTCATTTGGAAGGGGTTTGGTCGCACGACCCCTGTGGTTGGGATGCCAGCATTTTGTAGGCAGGTAGGATGTGGTGGAACTTGGTGGGCGTGCCTGGGTCTTGCTGGTGTGTTGACTGTCGTTGATGATTTTCATATGCATTCATCGTCACTACTAAATGAGTACCTGATTTCTGCATGGCATACCATTTTGTAGCAATCAGAGACCTTGGCCCCCCCATTTTGTAGCATTGGCCTAGCCCCTCCCTACAAAATGGGTCAAAATTTTCTAGAGTCATTTGTAGGGATGGAACGTTGGTCGCTGTCATTTTGTAGTGATATTTACTACCAAATAGGGGCCCCGACCCCTCACCCTGAATATCAACGATGATCTTCGATCTCATTTGTTGAGAAGAGCCATTGAATCTGGCATGGTCAACCCTAAATGGATGGCCGACCTCGTATTTAGTTGGAGGCCAGCGCTTTAGGTTGGAGGCCAGCCATGGCTCTTATGTTGGAGGGCAGCCATCGCTCTTAGGTTGATGGCACATCGATCTCACCGGTCGGCCAAGGCCTGGGGACTATCATGAGCCACAGCTCCCGAAGCATGTCTTCGAGGCGTCTCGGACTTTGCTGTGCGAGACGCAGTGAGCACTGTCGGCATTGGAAGAAGATCGTTTCTTTTGGAAGAAGACTCGGTTTAACTTGGAAACCCCAAACAGGTGCAACTAGCACTGGTTCTACAATTGCAGGTGGGATTCCTGGCTCAGTTCTTAGATGTGTTTTGTTTCCCATGTTTATTGCCGGAACCTGAAGCTTTTGAGAAATGTTGACATGTGCTTTGCCATTGCAGCCAAGATGTCCTCTTCTTGCTTCCAGCAAGTTGTTTGCTGATGCACGAGGCCCGCACTAACAGAGGTGACAATGAGAATCCACCATCACCATCCATTCTTGGGCATCAGGCAAGCAGGCATCATAGATTGTGCAGGATGGACTGTGCATCAAGGGTAGGTCACATCTCGATCAGTCTCCATAAAATGCCATGGAACATGTTCTTCCCCCAAACTCCTTTGTCCAAACCTGTTCATATTGCCTGGGTTTCAACAAGTCGTCTTCCCAGATGCCGTGAACTCCAAAAAGCCCGGCCAGGTCAGGTTGTCGATCTACACCTTTGACTTAACAGGTGTCAGCCTGCTGAACTCCCTGGGCTCCAATGTCACAGGCGCCACGGGGGGTCGCCGTTGCCACAATGGTTCGGTGTGATGTTGTTTTGATAATGTTATAATTTGGATATGATTGGTGTGACATGGATACCTATGGAAGTCGCGCTGCCACTTGTAAGTGGAAGCGATGTTGAGTGTTGTTTTCCAGATTCTATCTATTTGTGTATGTATATCTATTTGTTTGTTTGTCTGTCTATCTATCTATCTACCTACGGTGTTACCGTATGTAATCCGTATGTATACTGTAATTTTTGAAGTTGAATTGAATTTGCCTACCGAATCCATAATACACATTTTTTGTGTTCCGGCAACCGGCGCCGGCAACCGGCCGGCAACCGGCACCGGCACCGGCAACCGGCCGGCCACCGGCACCGGCAACCGGCGCCGGCAACCGGCACCGGCAACAAACCGGCGCCCGCCACCGGCCACAGTGTACCGGAACAGCGCACCGGGAATCGGCAACAGGGCCGCGGTAAATGTCAACTCGCCTTGAGTAATCGGACACGGCTGCGCAGCAGCGATCATACCTTTGGACTGTCGTGCGATAGAAAGAGCAAACGCATATGTACAGTTAAGACCCAGCAAAGAAACAGAAAAGATATAAATAGATACCCAAAGAAAGATAGATGAAGATAGACAGATTAGATTACAATAGATTAAGTGAGATAATGCCAGGTTAGGTTAGATTAGATGAGTTTGATGTAGGTAGGAAGGTAGATAGATAGATAGGTAGATAGATAGATAGAATAGATAGATTAGATGATGAAATAGATTAGATAGATAGATAGATAGATAGAAAGATAGATATATAGATAGGCAGGTAGATAGATAGATAGATTAGATAGATTAGATTGATTGATTGATTGATTGGTAGATAGATAGATAGACAGATAGACAGATAGATAGATAGACAGAGAGATAGATAGATTAGATAGATAGATTAGATAGATAGATAGATAGATAGGTAGGTAGATAGGTAGATAAAAAGATAGATAGATAGATAGAGCGAGAGAGAGGTAGATAGATAGAGAGAGAGAGGTAGATAGATAGATAGATAGACAGACAGAGAGATACATAGATTAGATTAGATTAGGTTGGATTAGGTTAGATTAGATTAGATTAGGTTAGATTAGATAGATAGATAGATAGAGAGATAGACAGATAGATAGATAGATAGATAGATAGACTAGATAGATTAGACAGATTTGATAGATTAGATAGATAGATAGATGGATAGATAGATAGATAGACTGATTGATTGATAGACAGATAGATAGATAGATAGACAGATAGATAGATAGGTAAGATATATTGTTGATTGCATGATTGATTGATTGATTGATTGATAGACAGACAGATAGGGCAAGCAGACAGAGACAGACAGACGGACACCGGCCACCGGCCACCGGCGCCGGCCGACCGGACAGCAAAGGGGCATTGCCCGCCCACCGGCACCGGTGCCGGCCACCCGCGCAGCCACCGGCGCCCGCCGCAGGCGGCACGGTGTACCGGACCGACCAGCGCACAGGGAATCCGGCGGACACAGACAGACGGACACCAGTCATCGGCCACCGGCACCGGCACCGGCCACCGTCTCCGGCACCGGCGCGGGCAGCGGCTGCCGGGCAACGGTGACAGCCACCGGCCACCGGC